CTTACAGTCAGGGAAGCCAGTTTGAAATTTGGGCTGTAGACGCACATTTTTATTAATTTCCGTGTGAATGGTTGGTAGTGGGAGCCAGAGAGGAAGGGGAGGTCAGTATGGGAAAGGGGAAGAGCCAGGCAGGAATCCCCACATATTAGACTTGGGTAGGGGGAGGAAACCATAACGCTCAGAAGGAGAGGGAGCGACCAGCCAGCCAGAACGAGTGGAGGAAATCCCAGAGATTTCCACCTTTTATAACAAGGCCGTGGTCAGCAGAGCCATTTATGGCAGGATAATTGAACGAGATCAGGATAGGGAAGTGTTTTGTTTAAAAAGATATTAGGAAGCTCATATTACGGAAGTGGGATGTATTGTGTTTGATTTGAGTGTGGGTTCCAGTGTCGGTCATTGCTAGTTGTGCAAACATGGGCAAGTTATCGACCTCTCTGTTTACTCCCTTTCCTCGTCTAGAAAATGGGGATAAATGACAGTACCATCTTCATAGAGTTGTTGGGTGGAGGGGTTAAACGAGACAACGATTATAAAAACTTTAGCCCAGGGTGCCTGGGTGGCTCAGTTGGTTAAGCGACTGCCTTCGGCTCAGGTCATGATCCTGGAGTCCCAGGATCGAGTCCCGCATCGGGCTCCCAGCTCAGCAGGGAGTCTGCTTCCTCCCTCTGACCTTCTTCCCTCTCATGCTCTCTCTCTACCATTCTCTTTCTCTTAATAAATAAATAAATAAAAATCTTTATAAAAAAAAAACACTTTAGCCCAGTTCCTGGCACTTGGTAGCATTCAGAAGACTGGCTGAGAGAAGAGCCTTTCCTACGATCCCAAGAGATTAGAACCCGGCTAAGTACTCTGTCTCCTTAGTTCAGTGCCCTTTTCCTAATACTAGGCTACAAGGTAGACCCTCAAATAACACCCTCTTTATGACCAGCACAGGAGTGAAATTTTCTTTTTTTAAAGATTTTATTTATTTATTTGATAGCGGACACAAGCGGGGGGAGCAGCAGAGGGAGAGGAAGAAGCAGACTCCCCGCTCAGCAGGGAAGCCTGATGCGGGGGCGGGAGTGAATTTTTCAGTTGATTCTTGATCTGGTGTTATTTTGGTATATTACTTAACATAATTGGAAACCCACTTAATATCAGACCAAACAAACATGGTGTGCTTAATGTCAGTCAGTAAAGAGCTGAGTGTCCTCTCCCCACTCCTCTGCTAGGGATGAATGTAACACCACTGCTATCCCTCCTTTCAGATCTAGAACTACATGTGTCATATTTTAAGATTTTAATTTTGTTACTAAATCAAGTTCTTTATGTTTTAAATGTGTTGTTTGTTGTCCTATTAAGGGATATTGTGCAATTATCCTATCTTAGTTAATTTTTGTATTTGACAGTTGAAAACTTTCTAACGATACAGAAGAGAAATTTGATAGTGTACTTTTAGTTCTGAGAAACAGTATTTGGACAAATCTACAGTGTGCATATTTTAAAGAAAGCATACATTGAAAGTAATCAGGGAAGAGGGCAAATATGAAACTTGGGAAGACTCCTTTGTTTGAAAATTATGGTGCTGTTAATAACCACTTTGGGGCAGTTATGGATCCAGCATCAAATTGGAAAATTTTGCTTTTTAATTCTTCCATAATTTATACATAAGGTGATTCAATAGAAAATTTCCTTTTAAAAATACGTTAGCCCCATAAGACATTTTGGACTTCTTGATGTGACGAAATAGGATGCACACAGCACCACCTTTAAAGATTCTTGCCTAAAAAACAGCCTGCATCTAATCAAATCTCTAGATCTAACTACTAGTCAGGGATGGTGGGGGGTATGGATGGGGAAGATAGAAGAATGAGGTAAATGACACCATGAGGAAGCAATCAAAGGACATTCCATAGACAAAGGAATTAAGCAACAAATGTTTCTTCAACAATCGATGGGATGAAATAAAAAAGGAGAGGAGACTCAAATGTAGTATGTGGACCTTAAATCCTGATTCTAATGAACCAACTGTAAAAAGACATGTTTACAGTTGACTGAGGGTTGCTGGAGGGGAGGGAGGTGGGGGGATGGGGTAACTGGGTGATAGACATTAAGGAGAGCACGTGATGTAATGAGCACTGGGTATTATATAACACTGATGAATCGCTGACCTCTACCTCTGAAACCGATAATATATTATATGTTAATTAATTGAATTTAAATTAAAAAGGAGGAAAATAAAAAATAAATTGCCTACAATTGGCAAAAAAAAAAAGGCATGTTTGAGACAATCAGGAATTTGAATATGTACTAGGTATTAGATGTTAAGGAATTACCTATATTAACAGTTCTGTCAGGTTAATGGTATAGTGTTTATTTATTTATTTATTTTAAGATTTTATTTATTTTTTGACAGAGACACAGCGAGAGAGGGAACACAAGCAGGGGGAGTGGGAGAGGGAGAACAGGCTTCCCCCGGAGCGGGGAGCCCGATGATGCAGGGCTCGATCCCAGGACCCTGGACCCTGGGATCATGACCTGAGCCGAAGGCAGACGCTTAACAACTGAGCCACCCAGGCGCCCCTAGTATTTGTATTTAAAATAATCTGTTACCAGAGATGCAAACTGAGGGATTTTTGGCAGTAGGATGATGTCTGGGATTGTTTTAAGGGGAAACAGGGAAATGCAGTCTTTTAGCAGGGCAACATTGTGCATGAAAGAAAGGATATTGAGGGCAGCTAGCCATTAATGTCACAACCAGTGAGGTTATAAATACATATATTATAAAAAGTAAGAAAGCAGTGTTCTTCCTTCTGTCTTACTGAATGTTGCTAACATCATTTAGTTCTTAACTGGGAGTAGAATTCCCTTCCTCCAGGAAAGAGTACCTGTAGGAGGGTTGGACATCATTATATGGCTGTATATGTAAAAACCCTGTTTATGGGGATTGTGGGACAATAGTGCAAAGAGTGAGGCATGCGAGATCTGGTACGAGAAGATTTATATTCCAGTCCCAACTCCTCTGCTTACCTGCTGTGTGATCTTGGGTACAAACTGTATCTCCACTTTCCCTGTAAAATGGGAATAGTAATATATTTACCTATATAACTTTGTTTTAAAGAATAAGTAATGGAATCTTTGTGAAAGTTCTGTATAAATTATCTACGTATAAATACTATGGTAAGCAAGATTTGGGAAATACCCTGCGATGATTATTTAACTTTTTTTGGAGTATATATGAATATCAGGTTTATATAGGATACTTAGGTACTTTATAGGATACAGAGAAAAATGAAGAAATTGAAATATCCTGCAAACTTAGAAACTGGATTAGAAGTAGAGTCATGCATAAACAAAATTACCCAGTGATACAAGGCAAAGGATTATTAAATGTCAAATGGACTTACAGATGGTTGTCAAATGTCTAAGTGTGCTGCTGTATAAAATCTTTTATATAAAATTAGAAATGATGTTAAGAGCTAAATATGTTGCAACTGTTATAAAAAATAAGTGGTTGATTCAATTGTTTTCCTTTGGGCTTCTCAACGTTAGTACTAAAGATGATAAAATATCTAAGGAGAGAAGACAGAAGTGGTAAATAAGTATATTAATTTTAAGAAAGATAATGTTTGCCTAGCATTTTAGAAGTCAAACAACTTAAACATACAGGATGGAAATTTTTTTTTTTTTAAAGATTTTTATTTATTTGACAGAGACACAGCAAGAGAGGGAACACAAGCAGGGGGAGTGGGAGAGGGAGAAGCAGGCTCCCCACCGAGCAGGGAGCCCTGATGTGGGGCTTGATCCCAGGACCCTGGGATCATGACCTGAGCCAAAGGCAGACGCTTAACGACTGAGCCACCCAGGTGCCCCCAGGATGGACATTTTTATGTAGTAGGTAAGAGATTGGCTCTGGAATGTCAGGCAGCTTGGGTTTGAATTTTAGCTCCACCACCTTAGGAAAGTGCTTAAACCCTTTAAGGCTCAGTTTCCTCCTCTGTAAAATGGGAATAATAATACTACTTAGTAGGATTGTTAGATTAAAAGAGTATATATATTTGGGCTGCCTAGCAGGATCAGTCAGTAGAGCATGTGACTATTAATCTCAGGGTTGTAAGGTCGAGCCCCACGTTGGGTGTGGAGACTACTTCAAATCTTTGAAAAAAGAATATATACATTGAATATTAAATGAATGTGTGTGTGTGTATATATATTTCATAGCACTCACAGTAGTGCTTGGCACATAGTAACACTCGCTAAGATCAGGGCTGTTTCCCGCAAGTCAGATGGTGCCAGCACTGGAACTTCATTTTGCTTCTTTCATTAGCTCAAATTGAAAATCCAGAATAAACTGATCCTTTACTTTCTTATTGTGCCATTCTGTATTACAGAATTTCCTTTATATAATGTGAGGATTTAAAGATGCTTTTAATGTTTTCCTTTTTTTTTTTTAAGTTTATTTTTTTTTTTTAGTAATTTCTACACCCAGCGTGGGGCTTGGACTCAGGATCCCAAGGTCAAGAGTCACATGCTCTCCCAGCTGAGCTGGCTGAGCACCTCTGATGTTTTACTTCTGTTATAAACAAAACTGTTAATTTCCACTTTGATAAGTGAATAAAATATTTTTTGAAAATTTGGTTACATCTCAAGCAGCTAGTGTTTTTATTTTGCTACTAGATTAACTGTTTGACTCTGGAGGAATATATCATGTTCTCTTTTAATCAAGCCACAGTGGGAGGCTCACTCATGATGGTATAAAGATGAATGTGCTTGAATTATGAGGCCAAAAACTTTTGTCTTAGTCTTTTGAACTTGTTCCTCTTAGCCAAAAATTCTAATTAGATTTAGTCTTTCTTTACATATCTGCAGAGGCAAACTCGGACAGTGGACTATATCTTTTCTGGATCCTAAATTTGATTTTTCTCCTCCTCGTTCAGAAACACAAATGTGCTTTTTTTTTTTATTGCTGAATATTTTAAAACTTTGTGATTTAAAAACTTTTCTGTTTATAGGAGTTATATTTTACACAGAAATCTTGTGAGACCACTGTGCAGCAAGGTGATGATTGTACAAAGAGTGGTATTGAATTCCCGACCTGGTATGTATTTGTCTGTGATGAATGAACAGCTGTGGTCTTTGATAATTATTATTGTTATTTTTAAAGATTTATTTGTGAGAGAGAGAGCAGAGGGAGGGGCAGAAGGAGAGGGGGAGGGAGAGAATCTCAAGTAGACTCCCTGCTGAGCACGGAGCCGAAGGTCGGGCGGAGCCCACTACTCTGAGAGCATGACCTGAGCAGAAATCAGTAGTGGGACACTGAACTAACTGAGCCACCCAGGCACCACGGTCTTTGATAATTATTAATGAAAATGAGGGAACAAAAAGTAATAGTCAATGTGGTAAATTAACTTAGGAAGATATTAACCCTAGTAGAGATATTAGAAGAAACTCTAAGCAATGTAATATCAGTTTTTAAAGTGATTACTTACTTATCAAGGCTGTTTGTTGAAGAAAAAAAGGTATTTTGGAATTACTATATTTAAAAGGTTATAGTACAAATATATATAGCTTTTGTTTTTTCTTTGTAGTGTGTATCACTGATTCTTAAAATTTGCCTTTCATGTTTTATGTGAAAAGCACTGACCTACGTCTGTGCTGACATCTAACCTGAATCATAGGAACTTAGGTGTGGAAATAACCTGGGAGGTTTGGGCATGCGCTGCTTTGGTTTTACTGTTCACTTAGTGTGTGGCCTGGGGAAATCACTTACCTTGTCAGTTTTCAACCCCCCCTCCCCGCCCCCATTTACCTTTTCTGACTTCAATTTTAGTAAAGTGAGCTGTTAGATTAAAATGTTTATATTCTGTTCCCGAACCTTAGACATTTGATGATTTAATCAATACGAAGTTTGCTTATATTAAACATAACTGAGTGAGAATACACTTTTAGTGATGGCATTTTCTGCTTACAGATTTTTCTTTCAATATTTCAAATTTTCTAGTTTTCAAGACCTTTTAATTTAAAATAGGCTCCACACCAATGTGGGGCATGAACCCACAACCTTGAGATCAAGAGTTGCATGCTCCACCAACTGAACCATCCAGGTGCCCCAAGACTTTACCCTTTTTTTTTTTTAGTGACAGGACAGACTTTATTGAGGCCCTCAGCCCTAGTTCTCCTCCTGCACAGTCTTGGTTCCCCGGAGACGCCCGGTCCAGCGGGCAGCAATAAGACCCACTTTGCGGCCAGCAGGGGCATCTCTGCGGATAGTAGAAGGTTTGCCGATGTGCTGGTGGTTGCCACCTCCAAAAGGATGCTCCACAGGGTTCATGGCCACACCCCGCACACGTGGCCAGCAATTCCTCTTTGCCTTATACTTGTGGTAGGCACGGCCAGCCTTCAGAATGGGCTTGTCAATGCGGCCACCTCCAGCCACCACACCGACCACAGCTATGTTGGCTGAAGAAATGACCTTCTTTGAGCCTGAGGGTAGCGTCACTCGGGTCTTCTTGGTCTCTGGGTTGTGGGAGATTACAGTGGCATAGTTTCCGGAGGCTCGGGCCAACTTGCCCCGGTCACCAGGCTTCTCTTCCAGACAGCACACGATAGTGCCCTCGGGCATAGTGCCCACCGGGAGCACATTGCCTATGTTGAGCTGGGCCTTCTTGCCGCAGTACACGAACTGGCCGGTGTGGATGCCCTCGGCGGCGATGAACAGCTCCGTTCGCTTCTTAAACCGGTACGGATCCCGGAAGACGACCTTGGCGAGGGGTGCACCGCGGCCCGGGTCGTGGATGATGTCCTTCATGATGCCCTTGATGTAGCCGTGCGGCTCGGCGAAGTCCACAGCGCGCAGAGGCGCGGCGCCCTTGCGGTGCTTCACGTGCGCGCGGAATACCGAGCCGGCGCCCTTTCTCTGCCCACGGATGACACGGCGCATGGTGGTCTGCTGCCGAGCACCGCCAAGACTGACTTTTTTAAAAAATTGCATTCATTTAAGTTTCCATTTCTTCTTAAAATGAGGAAAGAAGGTTTACTTAACTATTTATTTTGGCTGATGTGGTGTTTCTGCTGCCTTGTAAATTTTGGATTTTCATAATTTAAACTGGCTGTGAGTTTTCACTTTTTGAAATCCTATAATTTTAAAACAGATGAGGTGATTTATCTGGAATCATCTTTAAAAAGAAATTTTGAGGTGTTAGCAATATTCCACAGGAACTTCTTGGGGAAAATCAAGAGCAACTGAAACTATTTGAAGAATTTATACTGTATTACAGAGAAATTACAAAACAATATAGATTTATTCATGTCTGTATTAAAGGGGAGTTATCTGAATCCTAGAGTTACCTTCTAAAGAATAATAAATAACTACATAGGAAAGTAACTTTTTGATTTTATATTTTCCTTAATATTTTAGGAAAAAATGGTAATCCAGTGGCAGAAAATTTCCGAATAGAAGAAGTAAATTTATCAGATAATATCAGTGAAGGACAAGTACAAGTGAGAACTCTTTATCTTTCTGTGGATCCTTACATGGTAAGAATCAGGATTTTGTGACTTGGTGAAAATTAATTTTAGTTTCATATTTTGCATGTTGCATCTCAATTTTATTATGCAATCCTTATGATTAATAAATATTTGAGCAATTATATCTTGATACCTGGGAATTACAGATTGCCTTTGTTTTTAAATTCACTAGTGTATGAAGGAATGTTATAGAAGAATGTTTTCATAATAGTAGTACATGTGGTTAATCAGGTTCTTTCAAATGTCCAGGTCACTTCCCAGTAGTAAATAAAGCTTAAAGATAGTAAATTAGGATTGGAAATTCTCTCAGATTGATCTAGTTTACAAGGCAGGCTGTGTATAAGGCCCTTATTCTAGTCGGTCTCTCTTTTTTTTTTTAAAGACTTATTTATGTATTTTAGAGTGGTGGGGAGGGGCAGAGGGAGAGGGAGAGAGAAACTCAAGCAGACTCTGCACTGAGCCCGACACGGGGCTCAATCTCATGACCCTGAGATCACAACCTGAGCCAAAACCAAGAGTCAGAAGCTTAACCAACTGCACCACCCAGGCACCCCGCTAGTTGGTCTCTTTTTGAAGGAACAGACTCACTTTTAGAGAAAGCAGATTTATTGAAAGATACTGTTTAGGACTACTGCTGAGAAGCCCTCAGGCACATGGACTTAAGACTATACCGAGATAGTTTTTGCTTCTCCTTTTCCTATACAAATGCTTTTTTTTTTTTAAGATTTTATTTATTTATTTGAGAGAGAGAATGAGATAGAGAGAGAGAGCATGAGAGGGGGGAGGGTCAGTGGGAGAAGCAGATGCCCTGCTGAGCAGGGAGCCCGATGTGGGACTCGATCCCGGGACTCCAGGATCATGACCTGAGCCGAAGGCAGTCGCTTAACCAACTGAGCCACCCAGGCGCCCTACAAATGCTTTTTATTTCATTTTCTTGCCTGATTAGAACCTCCAGTACAATGTTATCTAGAAATGGTGAGAGTGGACATCTTTATTTTGTTTCTAGATCTTAGGGAGAAAGCATTCAGTCTTTTAGCATTAAGTATGATGTGGGATTTGGTAGATGCCCTTTATCAGGTTAAGGAGATTTCCTCCTATTCCTGATTTGGTTCCTGGTTTGTTGAGTGTTTTTATCATAAAGGGATGTTTTTTGTTTTTGTTTTTGTTTTTATTGTGGTAAGATATATATAACAAAATATGCCATTTTAACAATTTTCAAGTGTATAATTCAGTGGCATTAAGAACATTCACAATGTTGTGCAGCCACTACCACTTTCCATTTCCAGAACTTTTTCATCATCCAAAACAGAAATTCTGTGTCCATTAAATAATAAGTCCTCCTTCCTCCCTCCCCTCAGAAGTTTTAGATTTTGTCATATGCATTTTCTGCTTCTATTGAGATGATTTTGTGGTTTTTGCTTTTTAATCTCTTGATATGGTTTATTAATTTTTAGATGTTAAATCAGTCTTGCATTCTTGGAATAAATGACACTTGTTCCTGGTGTATAATTCCTTGATATGTTGTTGGATTTATTTTTTCTTAAGATTTTATTTATTTATTGAGAGAGACAGAGATAGTGAGAGACAGCACCGGCAGGGAGAAGAGGGAGAAGCAGGCCCCCTGCGGAGCAGGGAGCCTGATGCAGGGCTCGATCCCAAGACCCTGGGATCATGACCTGAGCCAAAGGCAGGCGTTTAACCGACTGAGCCACCCAGGTGCCCCTAAGATTTTTTTTTTTTTAAGATTTATTTACTTATTTATTTGAGAGAGGGAGTGTGTGTGTGTGTGTGTGCATGCACAAACGGAAGGAGGAGCAGAGGGAGAGGGACTAGCCGACTCCACTCTGAGTGCGAAGCCCAATGTGGGGCTTGATGTGGGTGATTGAGCCACCCAGGTGCCCCGATATGTTGTTGGATTTAGTTTGCTACTATTTTGTTGAGGTTTTTTGCATCCATTTAAGGTTATGAGACTATATTCATGGTCTGTTGTTTTCTTGTGATGTGTTTGCCTGACTTTGGTATCAGGGTACTATGGGCCTCAGAATGGGTTGGGAAATGTTCCCTCCTTTTGTTTTTGGAAGAGTTTGTGAAGAATTGGTATTCTTGAATAGGTTAGTAGAATTCATCAATGAAGCTCTCTGGCCTGGGCTTTTCTTTTTGGAGAGTTTTAAAATTACTAGTTCAATATCTTTGTTTTAGGTCTACTAAGATTTTCTGTTTCTTCTTGAGTCAGCTTCTGGGAATTTGCCCATTTCATCTAAGTTGTATAATTTATTAGCATACAGTTCTTAGTATTTCCTTATAATCCTTTTTTATTTCTGAAAGATAGGTAGTAATACCCTTTCTTTCATTCCTGATTTTAGTAATTTAAGTCTTGTCTATTTTTTCTTGATCTGTTTAGCTAAAACTTTGTTAGTTTTGTTAGTTTTTCAAAGGACCAACTTTTGGTTTTGTTGATTTTCTGTATTGTTTTCCTATTGTACATTTCATTAATTTCTGTTCTTTGTACTAATTTTACAGCTTCCTCTTGAGTATTTATGTAAAATAAAAAGTTAAAAGAAAATCAGGATAGCTTATTCAATAAACTGTGTTGGATCAGTTGACTGTATATTTTTGGAAAAAATTACATTCTTAGCTCAATCCTTCACTAGAATAAATTCTAAGAGATAATAAAAAAAATTAAAGAAAAAAATGAAACTATAAAAAATTTTAGGGGGCACCTGGGTGGCTCAGTTGTTAAGCATCTGACTCTTGATTTCAGGTCATGATCTCAGGTCATGCATTGGCTCTGCACTGGATGTGGAGCCTGCTTAAGATTCTCTCTCTCGGTGGGTGGGGGGATGGATTAGCCCGGTGATGGGTATTAAGGAGGGCACGTATTGCTTGGAGCACTGGGTGTTATTCACAAACAATGAATCATGGAACACTACATCAAAAACTAATGATGTAATGTATGGTGACTGACATTAAAAAAAAAAAAAATATATATATATATATATATGTCTGGGTAAACAATTGAATGGTGTTGGGGAATGAAAGACTTTGTAAGAATGACAGCAAACCCAGCTAATATGAAAAAACATGATTGATAAATATGACTACTTAAAAAACACTGTCTTTTGTAAGACACAATAAAATAGCATGTACAAAATCAAAAGATAAATGGCAAACTTAGTAAAATTTAAAATATAAATAAGAAAAAAGATGATAATGATTGACATTCAGAAAGCTCCTCTACATTAGTCTGTGAAAAGTAGAAAGTTGGCCAAAGAAACAAATAAGCAATTTATAGTCTCTTTCTGTATTACTATTTCTGTACTGTCTGCTTGCCTCCTCCTTTTGGCTTTTAAAGTGCCTTTGTAAGGGATAAAGAAAATCCTGGCTTGCCTCTTCTCAGGCTTCATTTACAGCGGATACCCAATGGCAGTGCCGTTTTCTGCCAGGAGAGTTGTAGCTTTGGGAAGGCTCCTTTTTCCTCTGATCCAGGAGTGCAGTTCAGCCTCTTTGAGTGACACCAGTCACACTCGATTATGCTAACAGTGGAAAGCAAATTGATGACTTCATTCAAAATTCTTCCCTGGGCTAGGAAGAAAATTTTCTTTGTGGGCTAGGGAAATGAGGTGGTGATTAGTCTAGAACATTCTAAGTAAACAAATGTTTAAGTTGATACAGAGGGGTAAATTAGGTCACTGATTTCCTACGGACCTAAAGATGCTCCATCTTTCAATGGCAGCTAAGACAAGCTCAGTCAAGCTCTGGGCCTCAACACTCTCAACACACTCAACACTGTGCTAAGCAAATCACGTGAGGAGAATAATTACCACAAACTCAGGAGAAAAATGACAGTGCACTATTTAGTATTTAGAGTCAATTCTTGATCGTGACTGGTTTGGATTTCTTAAGACTTCACTTCTGCAGTGTATAAGACATAGCTCAGGGCACAAAGGATTACCCATGCCCTGATGAACAAAATGTAAAGCATGTCATTTAAGCCCAGGATAATAAGTACAAAGTAAATTAAGAGAATAAAATTTACCAAAATAAAGCCAAGGTTCAAGGTTAGAAGGGTTTTAAAAATCAAACAGAGCAGTCAAAAAGGAATAGTTGAAAACAAGCAGAAAGGATGTGTTTTACACAGTATTCTTTAAGTTGGAACAAACTTCCTATTCGGTAGAATTCCCTCTGAGAGTCTTACAGTGAGAGAAATTTATGACCCAAAGATTTTAGGAGAGATGATGAAACAACTAAGATTGTGACATGAATTGAATTCATGACCTCCACTTCTAAATACCCTCAACCTCAATACAACAAAAACAGAAAACCTCTTTTTCCTCTAGGGAAGTATATAGCTCCTCCATCCACTCATTTCATGCTATAAAGCACTGAGTTTTTCTTGAGAATTCTGTCTCTTTGTTCTCTTTAGTCATTCTGTCAGTCAACCTCAGGTCCTGCAGATCCTACTTCTAAGTACATCTCAGTTCAGTACAGTTCTTCGTAAACTCCAAGGACATCTACCTTGTCTGAATGACCATTGTTTCCTCTCCCAATGGGGTATCCTTGCATACACTCTTTGCCCCCTTAGATGGTCTTCAAACCGCAGCCAGAAAGATATTTTTACAAAGCAACTAATCATGTCACCTTTATCTTTAATGGCTTTCCTTTAATCTTGAGATAAAGACTAACGTTCTGGACATGGTCTAAGATGCTACATAGTCTGTTGCAAATGGCAAGATTTTGGTTTTTTTGATGGCTTCATAATATTCCGTTATATATATATATCACATCACATCGTGGATGGAACTAGAGGGTATTATGCTAAGTGAAATAAGTCAGTCAGAGAAAGACATGTATCATATGATCTCACTAATATGAGGAATTCTTAATCTCAGGAAGCAAACTGAGGGTTGCTGGAGTGGTGGGGAGTGGGTGGGTTGGGGTGGCTGGGTGATAGACATTGGGGAGGGTATGTGCTATGGTGAGCTCTGTGAATTGTGTAAGACTGATGAATCAGACTTGTACCTCTGAAACAAATAATACATTATATGTTAAAAAAAAAAAAAGATAGTAGGAAGGGAAAAATGACGGGGGAGATATTGGAGGGGGAGACGAACCATGAGAGACTATGGACTCTGAGAAACAAACTGAGGGTTCTGGGGGGGTGGGGGGACTGGTTAGCCTGGTGATAGGTATTAAGGAGGGCACGTTCTGCATGGAGCACTGGGTTTTATACGCAAACAATGAATCATGGAACACTATATCAAAAACTAATGATGTAATGTGTCGTGATTAACATAATAAAATAAAATTTAAAAAAATAAAATAGCCTAATGAAATGTTAGGTCAGTTGTTAACAAGATCTACCATAACACTGTACTCATAGAATAAATAAATACTTACTGATGAAAAAAAAAAAGATGCTACATAGTCTGGTCCCTGTTTGCCTGCCCAGCCTTACCATACCCTACTTTACTTCTTCCCCTTGTACTCTGGCCACACCAGGCCTCTTATTGTGTGTAACACACCAGTGGCCCTTTTTGCTCAAGCCTTATATTAGCCCTGTTTTTCCTTTTCTGTATTTTTTAATGTTTTCATATCTTAGGGGTCTTCCTAATCCTGGAGAGACTGCCCCTACCAGCATATTTCTATTTATTTATTTATTAAAAGATTTTATTTATTTGACAGAGGGGGACACAGCAAGAGAGGGAGCACAAGCAGGGGGAGAGGGAGAAGCAGGCTTCCTGCTGAGCAGGGAGCCTGATGTGGGCCTCCATCCCAGGACCCTGGGATCATGACCTGAGCCGAAGGCAGACGCTTAACGACTCAGCCACCCAGGCGCCCCAGCATATTTTTAGAGATAATAAACATCTTGCCTGGAACATACCAACCACCTCCTTCATCTAACTCTCACACACCAACCCAATATTTTCTGTGCCCCAGATCACCAAAGGGCCAGGTGCCAGACAACTAGGGACCACCCCTATAAGCCAGAGCCCACGGAAATTATTCAAACTGTCTAATCCTAAACTTACTCAAGTTTGCCTACCCTGTCTTGCCCATTTCTTCCCCCTGAAACCAAAGTAAAGACTCTGGGCCATGCTCTCCTATTGCTGCTTTTTCTTCCTGACTAACTCTGGTGCTTCCCTCTGTGGCCCTGTGTTACCACACAGGGCTCCCCCTCTTGGGAATTTTAAGTAATAAACTCTTCCTTCAAGGCAGTTGTCTCTGTCTGTTGTTTTACTATACCTGACTAAAAATCCCGAGTAAAAATTAAAACAGGCCTTCATACATGCTGTCCCTCTGTCTTCCTCCCACTACTCTGCCATTACGTGGCCAACTCCTGTTACTCCCTCAAAGCCTGCATTAAAAGGATTTGCTTTGGTAAATTACCTTGATCCCTCAGACTAGTCCTTTCTCTGTTACATTTTCTCAAAACAGGACCTTGATCTATAGCATTTATTCAAGTTGTAATGAAGAATTATCTGTGTAGTTATTAGATGTCTGTCTTCCCTAATAAAGAGTAAACTTGTGGAGACAGGGGTCTGTCTTATTTATCACTATATTTCCAGTCACTAGCATGGTGTTTATTAAGTATTAATTAAAGGAAGGAGAAAAGAAAATCACTTTGGTTGCTTTTACTAGACATTGTTCTTAAAAAAATAATATATCCAAATTCATAACTAATTTTATTTTATTATTTTTTTTCAAATTTCCAAATCCATTTATTAGTTCTTATTCTTACTATGCTGACAGCTGGCATCATTACTTCCTGCCCTTATTAAGCAAGATCAAAATTAATTTTAATCACCATGTGTACACACTATTTTACATGGTTGTATTTAATGTATATATACTACTTTGACTTGATATTTAAGTGACTTTATATACATACTTTCATATGAAAAACCAGTCCAAATATCATTATTTTGGTGGTTATATAATATTCTATTGTGTTGACATCATTTGCTTACCCATGGAGAATTACTTGTTCCTGTTTTTTCTGTTAGCCTTGTTTAAGAGTCAGGTCCTTGGGGGGCACCTGGCAGGCCCAGTCAGTAGAGCATGTGACTCTTGATGTCGCGGTTGTTAGTTCGAGCCCCACACTGGGTGTAGAGATTACTTTAAAAAATAAAAATAAATTACCTTAAAAAAGAAGAGAAAGAGGGTCAGGTCCTTGGTCTGGCAGTATTCAGTGGCTGTTGCAATTGCTTTCTAAGAGTACTTGGGAGGGGCACACTAGCAGAAGTGTATTGTCATAGAAGCTTCTGCCTCAATTCCCTGTTTGGTCCTTTTCCCTGCTGAAAACTATACCACATGGGGCCCCTTAATCAAGCAGCCTTCTATCTTTTCTATCTCCTGGACCACACTGTGGGCCTCTACATCTTGGCCTTCATGAGTGGGCAAGAGTGAGCCACAGAGAAGAAGAAAGCCTTGATTGCTTCCCAGAGATATCTTTAGCTCTAGTCCTGTGGAAAGGTGTGGTGCCATTGTGATACTTTGTCTTCATAGAATAAAGAGAACATCCGCCTAAGGTTAGGGGGTATGATGTAATGCTTGGCCTGAAATTGTGGTGAACAGCTGTGTAAAAATAGTTTCATTTCTTCTTGAGTTATTTTCATTGAGGAAGCAGAATCACTAGGCCAATAGAAATGAATAGTAATATGGTCTATATGTTGCCAGTTTGTTTTCTATAAAAAATGTAGTTTTGTAATAGCAACATGTAAGTGTAGGTAATTTGCCACAATCCACTGAAGCCATTGACGCAGTATTTTGTATTATTTTTGCTAATGTAATGTATTAGTACTTACATTTCTTTAAGTGTTTAAAAATTTTAACAGCTTTAGGGTGCCTGGGTGGCTCAGTTGGTTAAGCAACTGCCTTCGGCTCAGGTCATGATCCTGGAGTCCCGGGATCGAGTCCCGCATCGGGCTCCCTGCTCAGCAGGGAGTCTGCTTCTCCCTCTGATCTTCCTCCCTCTCATGCTTCTCTCTCTACCATTCTCTCTCTCTCTCAATAAATAAATAAAAATCTTTAAAAAAAATTTTAACAGCTTTATTGATATATAATTCATCTATCATACAATTTATACATTTAAAGTGTACAATTAAGGAGCGCCTGGCTGGGTCAGAAGAGCATGCAACTTTTGATCCTGGGGTCATGAGTTCAAGCCCCATGATGGGTGTAGAGATTACTAAAAATAAGTAGATAAATAAATAAACTTAAAAAAAATAAAGTGTAGGGGCGCCTGGGTGGCTCAGTTGATTGGGCGACTGCCTTCGGCTCAGGTCATGATCCTGGAGTCCCGGGATCGAGTCCCACATCGGGCTCCCTGCTCAGTGGGGAGTCTGCTTCTCCCTCTGACCCTCCTCCCTCTCATGCTCTCTGTCTCTCATTTTCTCTCTCGCAAATAAATAAAAAAATCTTAAAAAAATAAAAAATAAAAAATAAAGTGTACAATTCAGTGGTTTTTAGTGTGTTCACAAAGTTGTGTACCTTTCGAATTGTACTGCTTTACTGATTAGAGAGGGGATACGTCTTTTTTTCAGGATAAAAAATAACTGAAAGGAAGATAGAATTTAAGATAAATATGATTTGTTTGACTAAGACTTTATTTAACATTACTGACTATATACCTTTCTTTTAGTCACCAGGTAAATTAATAAACTGGCCAGTATTATCAGGCAGAATTATATTCTAATCAACGTTTTTCTTTTTTAGCGTTGCAGAATGAATGAAGACACTGGTACTGATTATATAAGAGCTTGGCAGTTGTCTCAAGTGGTTGATGGTGGAGGTATTGGGATTGTAGAAGAAAGCAAAAACATAAATTTTACCAAAGGCGATTTTGTGATTTCTTTATATTGGCCCTGGCAAACCAAGGTTATTCTGGATGGAAATAGCCTTGAAAAGGTGATGTATAATATACAATATCTGGATTCCCTCCCCCTGTAATTTTTACTTTGTGAATTTGGTATTCAGTTTGTTATGAGGGAAAAATAATAAAAGCGTATATTTTCTTTTAGATAGCTTCCAAAATGTGGAAAACCTTTGTTTCTTTTGCACTGTTGGCCATAACTATATATGACAGTTCTCAAGATTATTAGTGGATGGTGGTGTTTTCTGTGTTTATTTCTCAAATTTTGCATATATAAAATAAAACCTGAATTGTAAGCATCAAAAAATATTTTATGCCAACAACCAGAAGGCCCCTTAGAGTTGTGTGCTTTAAAGTTTCCTGAGAAATTGCCATTTGACTTAAGAAATGCATTTGGTTTGTTCTTCAAATTACTTTTTCTATCAAAGTCCTGAGTTCAGTTTCTGCTATTACTTGAATCATGTGAAATTATCAATATTTGTCTGTTTTGACCTATAAAACCTGGCAGCTTCATGTAATTCAACCTAATATATGTCATCAGGGAAGTTACTTTATGCCTTTGACCCTTAATTTCCTCATCTGCAAGATGAAAATAGTAGCTGTCTCACAAATGAGTGTGGAAATTAGATGCTATGAGAAATATGACTAAGACTTAAAAGTTTTATAAAATTTTGGTACTTTTTTTGAAGATTTTTTAATTTTTAAAATTTATTTGAGAGAGGGAGAGCACGAGTGGGAGTGGGGGAGGGGCACAGGGAGAGGGAGGGGGAGAAGCAGGCTCCCCACTGAGCAGGGAGCCCCACATGGGGCTCGATCCTAGGACCCTGGGACCATGACCCAAGCTGAAGATAGACGCTTTACTGACTAAGCCACCCAGGTGCCCTTAGTACTTTTTATTATTACAAATTCTTATCAGTTAAAGGTGACTGTTAAGATACAAATGATAATGTGTCAGATGTTATACAATAATTTTCAACTTAATGGTACTAGTAAATACATCTATTTAACTAGAAATTTCTTAGCCAGGAAGTGAAAAAGAAATATGCAGCAGGTTCTGGTTTTCCCTGTCATTGTGCTGTGGTGGGAAATGGAGCAGTTGGGGAGAGCTTAAAAAGGCTTTAGGCACAGGTTTTAGAAATGAGGAAGAGGAATTCAAAAGGGATGGAGAAAGGATATTTGCTAACATAAACATATCTTTCAATGTTTTTATATTGGCTTTACTAATTAACTATTACCTACATGAAATATTTCTGTGTAGACCTTTCTAAGTATTGCTGACTTTAGTATCTCAATTACCTTTATGTACACACTAGATTTAACTGATAGCTGTTTAAGACTGCTGAATACAAACTGCCATTTTATTTATGACAATTTAAGTACAAATCAAATTAAGATGGTGAATCTTAATTACTTTTGGTGGTTTATTAAGTTTTTACCAAAATATTCAATTTCTTAAAAAATTATTATGGAATTTTTATGGTAGGGAGTCTTTCCATATCATTTCTCTTGATCCAATTCCTCCTAACTTTACAGATAAGAAAACAGACACAGAGAGAGGGTATGTGCTATGGTGAGCGCTGTTAACTGTAAAACTGATGACTCACAGACCTGTACCCCTGAAACAGCTAATACGTTATATGTTAATAAGAAAAAAAGAAAACAGACACAGAGAATGTAGAAGTATAATTAATTATTGGTAGGGCCTGCTGAACATATAAACATCAATGCTAAATGCTAAAAGGTTGAGAGAGCCCTCATTTTATTCTGTAATTAAACTAAAAGAAATTGTATCACACTTTCCTTATATTTTTATGGTACACTTTAATCATCAGTAGGGTTTGAGCTGATTTTTATATGGATAAATGTTTACTTTGGAATTGCTCAGAGATTTTAAAACCTTCCAACTCTGCCTACTGTTCTCCCCTTAAGTATTTCTTCTCTTTTGTATATACTTGGGGCATTGACAAGAAAGAATGGGTAGTGTCTTTCATGTGGGAATTCTTTTTTTTTTTTTAAAGATTTTATTTATTTATTTGACAGAGAGAGAGAGAGTGCAGGGGGAGCAGCAGAGGGAGCGGGAGAAACAGGCATTCCGCTGAGCAGGGAGCCCGGTGCAGGGCTCAGTCCCAGGATCGTGGGATCATGACCTGAGCCGAAGGCAGATGCTTAACTGACTGAGCCACGCAGGCGCCCCTCATGTGGGAATTCTTTAAAGTTTTTGCTTGTTTGTTTTTTTACTATAAAGAGAAGTAATATTCATTTCTTTTTTACTTTGTTACAAGTAAATTATAGAATTTTAGCAAGACTGAAGAATGGTTCGCTGTTCTAGAAACCATATTGGGTTGTTTATTAGTCTGCTTGGAATGCCATTACAAAATACCATAGACTGGGTGGCTTAAACAACAGAAGTTTATTTTCTCACAGTTCTGGAGGCTAAAAGTCTGAGATCTAGGTGCTGGAAAATTTGGTTTGTAGTGAAGCCTCTCTTTCTGGCTTGCAGTTGGCTGCCTTTTTGCTGTGTCCTCACAGGGCATTCAGCCTTTCGTTTGTGCACATGCAAAGAAAGAGCTCTGGTGTCTCTTCCTCTTCTCATCAGGAAACAAGTCCTGCTGGATTAGGGCCCCTTCCCTATGACTTTATTTAACCTTAATTATCTCCATAAAGACCCTTTCTCCAAATATAGTTACATTAAGGGATAGGTCATCAACATAAGAATTTGGGGGGATACAACAGTCCATAACAGGTTGTTTCTACTGTGTTGACTTAAAACAGGAATTCCTAGTATTATTTTTTAAAGTTACATATTTTATTTTAGGTAGACCCACAACTTGTGGATGGGAACCTTTCATACTTTCTTGGAGCTATAGGTATGCCTGGTTTGACTTCCTTGATTGGGATACAGGAAAAAGGTCATATAACTGCTGGATCTAATCAGACAATGGTTGTTAGTGGAGCTGCTGGTGCTTGTGGATCCTTGGCCGGGCAGGTAAAATTTCTGAGAATTATTTGATTTTCTAAAAAAGTGGTCATAATCAAATTTCTGGATACATGTATATAATTTAAAATAGAAAATTGAACACATTTATAATGTTATTTTACACATTTCGGATAGAAATGATGTTATTATGTGTTTAGACTCTCTTCATAACAACATGAAAAACCTAGATTTCTGTATCTTGTTCTCTATTAACCAAAAATAGACATGGTAAATGCAAGAGCATTGCTTTAATCAATATGAGGAAGAAGCTCAAAGAGTACCTATCTGGAATTCATGAATTAAAAGGCAAACTCATATTTTTTTTTTTTAAAGATTTTTTTTATTTATTTATTCATGAGAGACAGAGAGAGAGAGAGAGAGAAGCAGAGGGAGAAGCAGGCTTCCAAGGAGCAGGGAGCCCGATGCGGGACTCGATCCCAGGACCCCGGGATCATGACCCGAGCCGAAGGCAGACGCTTAACCATCTGAGCCACCCAGGCGCCCAAGGCAAACTCATATTTTTGAAAAGAATCTTCAAATAAGAGGGCACTTACTGGGTTCTAGAAATATAGTAAGGATTATGATAGAATTTTAAAGTAAACTGTTTTATGAATAACAGCCTTTATAGTGTGAAAACCATTGAAACAGAACATTTTATCATAGTAGTGATTTTAGTTCCTCAGAGGCCTAAAAAATATTGAACTGCAAGATAGTGATGTTTTGAGTCTGACTATTCCTTTTATGAAATCAGCTTTAAATTGTGTGATTTTTAACATTAAAACTAAGTCTAATGTTAGTCTTCATTTTTTTAGGAGTGACATTGTATCTGGTCTCAATTCTTTTGGCTTCAGATTACTTTAAGCCAACAGCTCTGTAATCAAACCTAATTGTGAATACTCTCATATACTTGTAATATCTTGTATGCTTTCACATTTTTACACTTAAATGTGGCAACAGAAAATTGTTTTAATTTTTAAAAATTTCCCCCCTAGATTGGCCATTTGATGGGCTGTTCCAGAGTGGTGGGAATTTGTGGAACACAGGAGAAGTGCCTCTTTCTGACCTCAGAACTAGGCTTTGATGCTGCAGTTAATTATAAAAAGGGGAATGTGGCAGAACAGCTCCGTGAATTATGCCCAGCTGGAGTGGATGTTTACTTTGACAATGTTGGTGGTGACATCAGTGATGCAGTGATAAGTCAGGTTGTGTGCCGATTTGTTTGTTACAAATTTGAATACTATGTTTTATTTGATGTGCTATCTTTTTACTTGATACTGAGAAAAAAAACTGTAAAATTCTAGGGTTTATTGTGAGAAATAACGTAATGATCAGTATTGTAATTAGATGATACCGAAAAGCTTGCTGACACCTACTTCCATTTGCTTGCAGATTTGCACATGAGCATCAATTTCAGTTCTTCGCTAGCAATATTATATTTTTCACCTGCATTTTATTTTTTGTCAAAAATTAACAGTTGTAGGGGTGCCTGGCTGGCTTGGTTGGTCAGGCACGGAACTCTTGATCTCAGGGTTGTGTGTTCTAGCCCCACACTGGGTGTAGAGATTACTTAAAAATAAAATCTTAAAAAAAAAAAATTACAGTTGTATTGTTCAAATGGTGAAGTTTTGACCCTAATTCCCTATCAACTAACTCACAGCCATGGCCTCTGACTTCAGGTAGGAAAAGGATTTTCATAGATCACAGGTATTTACATATTTTTATTGACAAGGTTATAAAATATGAACGTTAGCTATTAACACTGCATTGTCCTTTACTATATGTAAAATTATTTGCAGTTGAGGTTATTTAAATCCAAGAAAAGACTTTACTGCTACTACTGATGGTAGCAACAACAATGGCAACACCAGTGTAATTCTTTTGCACATTGCCGAACTCTCCCTTACCTCTATGTTCCGTTGGAGGGGACTTGTTTCCTAGTTAATTAAAACTCTTCAAAACATATAAGGTGTAAATCTGCAAAGCAAAATCAGTTAATTGGCACCAATTGATTAAATATAATAATCAAGGAGGCTTTCATTGAAGCAACCGTAAAATCAGTAAACATAGGTAAGGCATATATTTTAGGGTATAATAATCAATTTTCTCTGAACAGATGAATCAGAACAGCCATATCATCCTGTGTGGTCAAATTTCTCAGTACAACAAAGATGTGCCTTATCCTCCTCCACTACCCCCTGCTGTAGAAGCAATCCAAAAAGAAAGAAACGTCACAAGGTATGGTCTACCCTTTTCCCCTTATTACTAGGTTCATGAGTTTAAAGATCATAGATGTATATAAAATGTATGTTCTTCATATATCATTTTTCCTTATTTTTTTTTTTTTAAGATTTTATTTATTTGACAGAGAGAGACACAGCGAGAGAGGGGACACAAGCAGGGGGAGTGGGAGAGGGAGAAGCAGGCTTCCCGCGGAGGAGGGAGCCGGATGCTGGCCTCGATCCCAGGACCCTGGGATCATGACCTGAGCCAAAGGCAGACGCTTAACAACTGAGCCACCCAGCCACCCCATTTTTCTTTATTTTTAAAAAATATTTATTTATGTATTTCAGATAACACCCTTGTGCGCACATGGAGGGGAGGGGCAGAGAGAGAAGGGGGGAGAGAAGCAGACTCCCCGATGAGCTGAGTGTGGAGCACACTGCGGGGCTTGATCTCATGACCCTGAGATGGTGACCTGAGCCCAAATCAGGAGTCAGACACTCAACCATCTGAGCCATCCAAGCGCCCCTATAATTTTCTCTTATTAAATAAAACTTGAAAATATAAATATTAAGCCAGTTCAGTATTTAGGTTTTCGTCAACTAGTGCCCTGGCAGAAAACTTTCTAAAAATACATCTGTTCTATCAATCTTTTGCAAGCCTTTTTTTTTCCCCAAGTGACAGAAACTCAACTCACATTGGCTTAAGTGCAAAGGAAATTTATTGGCTCATGTTTCTGAGAAGTCCGGTATTAGTATTGACTTAGATTTGGCTGGATAAAAGGTTTGCATAGTGGCATCACTACTCAGTTTTTCTCTGCCTCTGGGCCGTGCTTTCTTTTGGGTTGGCTCTGTTCCCTCCCAGGCTCTTTTGCAGCCCAGTGAGAGGATGACTGTCATCCCTTGTCTCATACCAGGTTAGCAACCCAAGCGAAAAGAGGACAGCTCTCTCCTCTCGGTTTTTTTTTTTTTTTTTTTAAAGATTTTATTTATTTATTTGAGAGAGAGAATGAGAGAGAGTACATGAGAGGGGGGAAGGTCAGAGGGAGAAGCAGACTCCCCGCTGAGCAGGGAGCCCGATGCGGGACTCGATCCTGGGACTCCAGGATCATGACCTGAGCCGAAGACAGTTGCTTAACCAACTGAGCCACCCAGGCGCCCTCTCCTCTCGGTTTTGTTAAGTCCCAAAGCTGATACTTACCGGCTCAGACCGGCCTGGCTTTGGTCACGGATGGGTGAGGAAAGGATACTACCCACAAAGTTAAATCACAGTGCTAATTACCAAACAGAGTTCTGGATGCTGGCCAGACAAAACAATAGAAGTCCACTATACTTACACCTGTAACTATACCTAAAACTGTATCTGACCAGACTCTGTGATTACGTCCTAATGTTTGAAAGATTAACAGGTATTAGAGTTCTGGAATGATTTGGTTTTGGACTATTTCACCCTCCATAGTCTCTGATCATTATCCTTTTCTTCCCCACTACAGAGAAAGATTTCTGGTGTTGAACTATAAGGACAAATTTGAGTCTGGCATTCTACAGCTGAGTCAGTGGTTTAAAGAAGGGAAGCTAAAGGTAGAACTTGCTTCTGTTGTTTATCAATATCATTTGTCTGCTACTTAATATACTTTTATGTTATTTGAATTTATGATGGCAAACATAACTTCATAATAAAAATTCCTACAAAATTGTACTAAATATTGTAAATTAAGTTTACTCCCAGGTGAGTATAACCTCCTAATTGAGAAACTCTTTCCTGTTAGTACCTTTATCTAAGATTTCATTAGCCTTTACTTTTCTTAGACTATATTACAAGATAAATAGGTGTTTTTTTCCAAATTTTAATATTCATTACTTTAACAAATATTTATGGAATGCTACTATGTGTTAGAAGCTGTGCTTTCTCAAAAGTCTTATAAGTACCTCCTGGTACCCCTAACCCTCTACCACCATACATCTTTTGTTCCCTCCCTGATATTCTGATATATCTTGGTTGCTGGCTGGAAATCAAGAGTTATTAATCAGGGGTCTAGAGATTCTGACCTAGGATGTTCTTGAAACTTGCAAATGATAGGCAAAGTTATACGTGTGTGTGCTTATGTTTAGGTACTTTGTTTTTTGAAAAGAGATTGTATAGTTTGTGATATTACCAGTTGAAGATCAGACAGTGGGAAAAGAAGATTTTTTTTTTTATTTTTATATTTTTAAAAGATTTATCTATTCTAGAGAGAGAGAGAGAGAGAGAGAGACTGCGTGAGTGGTGGAGAGGGGTAAGGAGAGAGGGAGAGAATCTCATGTAGACTCCCCACAGAGCCCAGAGCCTAGAGCCTATAGCCTCATGCCAGACTCAGGCCCACGACCTGAGCTGAAATCGAGTCAGATGCTTGACTGACTGTCACCCAGGTGCCCCAAGAGGATTTTATTTTTAAAAATCATTTCGGGCGCCTGGGTGGCTCAGTTGGTTGGGCGACTGCCTTCGGCTCGGGTCATGGTCCCGGAGTCCTGAGATCTGAGTCCCACGTCGGGCTCCCTGCTCAGTGGGGGGCCTGCTTCTCCCTGACCCTCTCCCCTCTCATGCTGTTTCTCTCTCTCAAATAAATAAATAAAATCTTTAAAAAAAATTATTTCATAGGAAACTTTTCTGTGCTACCTCCATGAAATGAGGAATATCTATTTTTAGACAGAAAGTGCTAGAGTGTTGCTGCCCTTTGCAAAAATGAAGAATATTACAGTTGACCCTGAGCACCTCAGGGGTTAAAGGTACTGACATCCTCCCCCTCCATGCCGTTGAAAATCCCAGTATATCTTTTGACTCCCCCAAAACTACTAATAGCCTACTGTTGACCAGGAGCCTTGCTGATAACATAAACGGTTGATTACCACATATTTTGTGTGTTATGTGTAATTTATACTGTATTTTTTTTTTAAGATTTTGTTTATTTATTTGACAGAGATAGCAAGAGAGGGAACACAAGCTTGGGGGAGTTGGAGAGGGAGAAGCACGCTTCCCACTGGCTTGAAGCCAGGGACCAGGACACTGGGATCATGACCTGAGCGGAAGGCAGATACTTAACTACTGAGCCACCCAGGCGCCCCTATACTGTATTCTTTACAGTAAACTAGAGAAAAGAAAATGTTATTAAGAAAATCACAAGAAGGGAAAATACATATATAGTACTGTACCGTGTTTATAAAAAAGATCTGTGTATCAATAGACCTGCACAGTTCAAACCCATGTTGTTCAGGGTCAACTATAAATAGATACACTGACCTAAAGAATACTATATGTAGCTATTTTGATTTCCAGATCAAAGAGACTGTGATAAATGGATTGGAAAACATGGGAGGTAAGATGGACGTCGATTTATTTATTATATGCATGAGCTTGGCACAAATACTCCCTTTTTTCCTTGAATTGTACTTCACGGGTGTTTTTTTCTTTTTAAAGCATTTCTTTCTTTCCTGTAAAACCACCCTGCGAGTTTACTTAAATATCTTCATCAAACTTCGTTAAAGTTCAGCTTAGAGGTATTTAAGAAGTATTGTTTTCATTTCAAATCATAAAATAAATGTTTCTTTGGTTTTGAAACAAGTTATGAAAAAAACATAAGAATCATGAAAGTCATTTAGCTTCTAGGTAACTTTTTCAGATTGAATGGTTTTATTTATTTATTTATTTATTTGAGAGAGAGCGCCAGTGAGCATGAGCAGGGGGGAAGAGCAGAGGAAGAGGGAAAAGCAGGCTCCCTGCTGAGCAGGGAGCCCAAATGCTGGGCAATCCCAGGATCCTGAGATCATGACCTGAGCCCAAGGCAGACACTTAAGGGACTGAGCCACCCAGGTGCCCCCAGGTTGAATGGTTCTAAGGCATCATAAGATTATATTAAACAGATTTTCAATATTTAAGTTTTTTTTTTTTAAGATTTTATTTATTTATTTGAGAGAGAGAGAGTGAGCATGAGCCACGAGTTGGGGGGATGGGGGGGAGAGACAAGGGGAGAGGCAGACATCCTGCTGAGCAGGGAGCCTGGCATGGGGCTCAGTCCCAGGACCCTGGGATCATGACCTGAGCTGAAGGCAGAAGCTTAGACAAGTGAGCCACCCAGGCGCCCCTAGGTTTTTTTTTTCCTAATATACACAGATTTCAACATTCTTTGTTTCAAATGAAAGAGATTAAACTGATTTTTTGACTTTTATAGAAAAAATATTTAATACATTTGATCAATACGTTTACCAAACAAATATAAATTTCACTCATTTTCCTGGCATAAACAGATGTGTATTTTACTTAGTAAAACTTTATGATTAGATTTCTGTTTTTTTTAAAAGATTTTATTTATTTGACAGAGCTAGAGAGCACAAGCAGGGGGAGGGGAAGAGGGAGAGGGAGAAGCAAACTCTCCGCTGAGCAGGAAGCCCATGGAGGGGCTCGATCCCAGGACTCCAGGATCACGACCTGAGCCAAAGGCAGACGCTTAACTGACTGAGCCACCCAGGCACCCCTAGATTTCTATAATCTTTTTAATTTTTGGAGAGAGTGCGCGAGTGGGGATAGGGAGTGCGGGGGACGTGGGGGGAGGCAGAGGCAGAAGGAGAGAGAATCCCAGGCACGCTCCATGCCCAGCACAGAGCCCAGTGTGGGGCTCCACCTCATGACCCAGAGATCACCACCCAGAGATCAGGACCTGAGTGGAAATCAAGAGTTGATCACTTAGCCACCCAGGTGCCCCAGATTTCTATTATTTTTTTTTTTTTTAGATTTCTATTATTTTTAATAGTTTTTGGAAAATTGATTTCGCTGACATTTTATCCTCATATTTATTCTAGTCTTCAGACTCTGTAAACAGTGAATATTGAGGTAGATATAAATATTTATAGTTTGGGTAAAAGCACATTTTTAAGATACAAATTGGGTTAGTTTATCTTGTAACTTCTTTTCATGACAGTTTCCTTCTAGTCTTAATATTAAAATCATCGCAGAAATTATTCAAATTAACTGTGTTTCATGTACTAATAAACATGTATGATAGTGATATTCATGTTTTCATATAACCTAGGTTTTTTTTCTTTCTAGCTGCATTCCAGTCCATGATGACAGGAGGTAACATAGGAAAGCAGATAGTTTGCATTTCAGAAGAAACCTCTGTGTAATCTGTATAAGCATCTTTATCAAGGAAATACACAGATTTCTTTCCATTTTGCACAAAGATTTTTAAGATACATTAAAAAAATCTTAGAGTACAGATAGCTTTTTATTTAAATGTGATCATTGGTAATATTTTCTAGTTGCATAATTTTTTCCTATATCTTCAATATCATGTGTTCTTTATATCCAACATGATTATTTACAGTAATAGATTGAAGTCAACATGACCTATTTTTCTTTCTTTTACTAAAACTGATATATGATATTTGATCAGATATTCTGAAACCACTGGAGATTTGATATAAGTGCTTAATGGATCAGCTTAATAAGTCGATTTTTACAGTTAATAACTTTTATTTAAAATAGAATGCTTGAGAAGACACATGGTAAATATATGTTGACCTGAAAATGCTTTACATAATTCTTGAACTGTAACTTGGTATAAGAATAGAATTGGGATGGCTTTTCTATATTGTAGATGGAAAAGAGATTTAATGGCAGAGCATGTGTTGGGGTTTGGGGGGAATTTAGAGCTTGTGGAGCAGTTTTTAGGATAGGAGAGCAGAGGTTTTGTGTTGAGAAGAAAACAGGTCAGTCAGGTTGATGAAAAGACTAGTTTATTACAGAGGATTATCTGTTTGTGTTTTGCTAAATAATTTACTGTATAGCCTAAAAACTCAAATATATGTATTGATAAAAGCATGTTTGTTTTAGGTTAGCAGTTACATACTGTCAAATAGTGTAAAGATTTTGAGGGCAAATAGATACAAACATCACTTGAAGTTTTAAGTGATCAGAAAGATTTAGGCAACAAAGACAGCTTTAGAAAATGACAGGACTGAGCAAATTAACAATTGGTTGTAAACATGAGTGTTCAAGATCTAATGTACCTCTAAATAAGACGGTTTGTTTCATTAATTATAATCAACCCTTTACAACAATAAAATTGAGGATATTTTTCAAGTGTTGTGCTGGTTTATGGTCACCTTTTTACACCCTGCTATGTACTTTTGTCTGCAACATTTGTAGGACGTAGATTCAAACTGTGTTAGTAATCAGTCACTCCAGCTGACCTCAGTGTCCTCTTCTTTTCTATACCTTTCCTGGATCATTTCATCTCCAGAGAGCGCTGTATGTTGCTAACTCCCAAATCTGCATCTCTATTTCTGACCTCTTACTTGAGCTTAGGACCTCCCAAGTAAAATATCCTGTTGGCACGCGGGATAAACTGTTTATCTAAAGAGGAATCACCTTCCTCTTACATGTTTCTGCTTTGTTTTTAAATCACCATTGTGCACCCAAACCAATACTCCGTCACTCATTCAGACGGCCTGTCATCAGGCCTGTCAACGTTGAAAATGCCTTAGAGAACTCCTTTAATTCTCACTGCCACTATTTTAGTTGAGTTCCTCATCCTCTGGCACACAGCAAGTATTTAAAAATTAGTAATTTCAAAGTCTCAACCGCATAAAGCTCTAACGTGGTGGCATCCAGCCTGGAACTCAAGTGTTCTAGTCCCCAGTGTGGGTATTCGAGAGCTCTTTCCATCCTCATATAGGGAACCCAGACTCTAGGGAATTCATATTAGAAGAAAAGTTGTACACCTGAGTCTCAATTCTTACCCTGTCCCGAATGCAATGCAGAACTAGATTCTGCAAGTTCCCTTCTCAGGCAGCGAAGCTTTGAGGTCCTCTTCAGTGAGAACTTCGATAAATGTTTAAGTAGTGCTCTCTTTCTCGCTGGCCTCCATTGTAACTAGTTCCGCTCTCAGCTGACAGGAAAAACTACCCCATCTGCTGCTGCAAGGAAGCAGTGATGTCATGGCTGGAATGAACTGACCCCGTTTTCGGGCTTCGCAGATCGCCGGGCCCCAAGGCCCGGAATGAACAGGGCTCGGGAGACCGCAGCTCCTAGCGTCCGGAGGCCCGGCCCTGCGCAGACAGCCCGGCCTCCCGCCCCCCACCTCCCTCCCTCCCTCCACGCCTTGGGCGGAACCCCGCGCCGGGCCGCCAAGGTCCAGCCTGGGGCGAGCGAGTGGGTGTGAGCGTTGGGGGCCGGCCAAACTTCCTGTCCCGCGCTGCCGCTGCTTCCGGCGGGAGCCGGAAGACGCTGTGTGTGGACGGAATTCGGGACCGCCTTGACGGCTAGCAGGCTGCCCGGGACGGGAAGGTGAGCTCCGGGCTGGGCCAGGCCACACCCGCGCAGCTAGGTGGTCCCCGAGAGGGAGGGAGCCAGTACCGGCTCCTCAGGGGCTCGGGCCGAGTTCGCCTCCGGAGAGGACAGGGAGACCGCCCCCCTTGGGCACCCCTCCCAGATCTGGCGGGCCCGGGAGCGGCCGGTCTGAAGCCCTACGGCTTCGGCCCTTCCCCTCGCGGCGTTGGGGCTGATGTGATTGCTCCTTTGCTTGGTTTTGGGGGTAGGGGCTTAGGAACAAGACAGTCTCGAGAAAGCTGGAGTCAGCAGCGAGTCCCTAAGGGCGGGGGCTGCTGGACTGCACCCGCAGCCGGGCCCTGCCCGCGGGCCTTGGGGCCCTACACCAAGGCCTTTGCAGAGGGGGAAAGAGGATGCCAAGAGGACTCTGCCCTGGATTATTTCATCCCAGAGCTACCCTCTTTCATACGTCCACTTATTTCCTGGGTCTAGAAGAAGGAAGGCTGCCGGCTCTGAGGGGCTTGACTCCTGGCTTCTCCTTCGCCTGTCATTTCAAGGCGAGGCTGTGGGCTGTGTTTACAGCCTGTATGCGTTCGCTGGGTGAATTTATTCTCTGAAGTTTCTTCAGAGGAAAGAATGGAGTTAGTTTATTAAAGTTTATCCTACTTGCTCATGAGGCCTGAAATGCATTTAGGCACTATTTGGAAGTTAAATATTACTAACCTGGGACTTAAGAATTTGTATTTCATCACTTTGGCACATGGGTCAACGTAACATATTTGCAAGGAGAGTAAAAGAAACATTTTGAAATAGAGTCAGTGGCATTTTGTTGTTAGGGAGTGAGAAATTCCACTTTGTGTTATCTTAGTGTGGACAGAGTAAAGTCAACTGAACGGAAGATTTAGGTGCTAATTTTTAAGAATTCTTGCATTTAAGTACATGTTTGATTTTTGACAAGTTACTTGATCTCTAGTGCTTTTGTTTCTCCTGTGTAGGTGAAGAGGCTTACCTATTTATTCAGCAGATACTTTTTGAATGCTTAGTTTGTTCAAAGCATCATACTAGGTTAATGAGAATTAGAATGAATAAATTCAACGACCTTAACCAGTGAAAAAGATATGCATGTAGACTAACAGCCAGGGCGGATGGAATAGTTGCTAAAGAGAGGTGAAACAGTGTGTTGCCAAAAACACGAAAGAAAAGGACAGATTTGTTTTGATTGGAGGGAAAGGATCAGTGTCTTAGTGGAGGATGGCATTTGAGTTGTATTTTAAAGGCTGGAAAGGATTTCAAAATATCACAGCTGGATTGGGAGTGTTTATTACTGGTTGAAGAACTATTCTAAGCAAAGACTTGAGCACTGAAATAGGCTGGTGTTCATTCCAAAAGCCAGTCCATGTGGGATGGAGTAAAGGGTTAATTGGAGAATATGGACAGTGCTGTAACTGGAACAGTATTTGAGGATATACTGTAGAATATTTGAAATGCCATGCTTAGGAATTTGACTAGTATTCTGAGGCACTGAATTTTGAGTGAGTGGAGTAACTAACAAGCATTTCTGTTTCGGAAAGATAACTCAAGCGGCTGCATTAAAAGATGGATTGAAAAGGGGAATTTTTAGGGCAGGGTGACCAGTTAGAAGCCTATTTTAATAGTGTACTTGAAAGATAATGAGACCTAAACAGGGTATTACAGGAGGAATAAATTTGGGGGAATCAGAACTACTGGGGTTATTTAAATATGGAGGATGAGAGACATTGTTAAAGACCTAGAATTTACAGCTGCGTGGGAAGCAGATTGGGCAATAATTGAAATGGGTAATACAGGAAGAAGAACAAGTTTGGTGGTGGAGATGATAATCTGGATTTTGGACATTGTTAGGTTTGAGATGGATATCCATGGGGAGATAAGCAGTTAGAAATGAAAATTTGGAGTTCAGAAGAGAGGTCAGGAGTAGAGACAAAAATTCCGGTATTATTTGCATGTCATTCATTACTCTACAGATATTTATTCAGTGCTTACTAGGTGCTTGCAGGGAAGTTTGTATGGAAGCCCTTAAATCTCATAGTAAAGCCAACTTTAGAGCTTCACAGTATCAGAAATGACTCTTGGAGGCCTAAATTCCTTATGAATTACATAATGCTTTGCCAGGCACAATGCTAGGTAGTGGAAGGTAAAGTTGTGACCAAGACAGACTAGTTCCTGCCCTTGTTTATGGAGCTTACAATTTACAGGGTAGCCAGACAAAAAATAAATACTATATAAAACCAAAGGAATTAGAAACAGCAAGACACCTGGGTGGCTGAGTCAGTTAAGTGTCTGCCTTCGGCTCAGGTCATGATACCAGGGTCCTGAGTCCCACATCAGGCTCCTTGCTCATCCGGGAGCCTGCTTCTCCCTCTGCCTGCCCCTTCCTCTGCTTGTGCTCTTTCTTTCTCTCTCTGACAAATAAATAAAATCTTAAAAAAAAAAAAAGGAATTAGAGATAGAGAATAAAGGTGGAAGTATGGGGAGTCTTTGGATAAGGCGATCAGACAGAGCCTCTCTAAATGAGTTGTTAGTTAAGCAGAGCCCAGAAGAATGAAAAAGAGCTAACCAATGGAGAGAAAGGTAAAAGCGTTCCAAGGTAGAGGAAATGACATGTGCACATCCCTAACATCAGAAAGAGCTTAATTTGTTCAAGGAACTAAGATGGCTGAAGCTTGGTGAGCACATAAGGGAGAGTGACTCTTGGAGTGTGGTTGGAGAAGCACGAGTGGATCACATAAGGTTCTCACACGCTAGGATAAGGGGTTTGGATTTTGTGTAGGTGCATTGGGAAGCCAAGTAAAGAGTTTCAAGCAGGTGAGTGATATAATAGAACTCACATTTTAAGATGCTATTTACTACTGTGAAGAGAATAGAATGGATGGAGGCAAGAGTAGAAGCAGGGAGACCAGTTAGGTGGCACTAACAGTAGTTTAGGACAAGTATTGATGGTGGCCTGAAATAGGGTGGTGACATTAGAGATAGAAGTAGGTGGATTTGATGTCTCAGTAGGACTTGCAGCTGGACTGGATATTGGGAGCAAAGGAAAGAAAGTAATAAAAACGACTCCTAAATGGGGTGAACGGTGGTCTCGTCTTGAGTAGAGGGTTGTGGTGAGTGGGGCTGGCAGGGTGTGATGGGAAACAGGCTTGGGAGAGAATTCATTTTGGACATGTTAAATTTGAGATATCAAATTAAAATGTTAAGTAGAGATGTCGGGTAGCAATTGTATATGCAAGTCTGCAGCTGAAAGGAGGTATCTGGGCTGTAGATAAAAATTTTGGTGATGAGCACCAGGTGTTGTATAGAAGTGTTGAATGACTATTATATACATGAAACTAATATTGCACTGTATGTTAACTAATTGGAATTTAAATAAAAACTTAAAAAAAATTGAAGACTGTATCATTTAAAGCCATAAGTTTACACTAGGAGGAGAATGTAGCAAGAAAAGAGAGCCTGAATACTATCCTGAGGAATATTAATATTTAGAGGCTGAGTACAGGAAGAGTATAGGAGTTACCAAAGGAAACTGGAGGAATGGCAATGATGTAAGAGTAAAATGAGGAACATGTATCTTGGAAGCAGAGAGTATAAGTGTTGGAGGAAAGAGGCAGTGCTTCTAAGGGATAATACCAGTTATGGCTCTGGTTGCAAGTGACCAGTTTGCTTCAGAAGAGGAATTTATAACAAGGATGTGGGCAGCTCATGGGATCAAAGGAAATGATGAAGGCCCTGGCTTCATGAAGGACAGGAATCGGAGCAGCTCTAGGGGAGGCTGCTAGCAGCATTACTGGCATGAATGGGCTGCTGCAGCAGTTTTCAGCCCTTTGTTACTTCTTTGAGAATTCACATTCTGAGGAAGAGTGTCTGATTTGTTCAGTATGGGTCAAGTGTCCAACAGTTGGCCAGTGAAGAAAAGAACACCTTAATCTATAGTCTCAACCAAGGATGTATCCAGTGGGGGAGGGGTGGATCCCCAGACATAATGTAGATCTGTCACCCAAGCAGTGGAAATGAATGTGTGACAATTAAAAACAATAGTTCATTACAAAGGTCAAGTAAGATTGGGGCTGTTAAGTGTCCCTCCAATTTGGTAACATGAAGATCTTTGGTAACCTTTATAAGAGAAGCTTTGGTGAAGTGATGGGATTGGATAGTGATTGGAGATTTGAAGGTGGAGACAAGTCTCTTGATAAATTTGGCTCTGAAGGATTGAAGAGAAATGGGGAGGTGACTGGAATAAAAATGAAGGCTGTGGGAATGGAACGCCTCAGCAGATCCTGGGAAGGAAGAGGGAAGGCCCAGGATGAATCCTATAGTTTCTAAGATTCATTCTGGCTTCACAGGTCTCTAATCCAGATTTCTCTCACTAGTACCTATTACTACTTTGTTGTTAGAATTTAATCAACGTCCATGATACGCTAGATAGGGATATAAAAAGTTACTTGGGCTTTTTTTTAAGATTATTTAATTGTCGGGCGCCTGGGTGGCTCAGATGGTTAAGCATCTGCCTTCGGCTCAGGTCGTGATCCCAGGGTCCTGGGATCGAGTCCTGAATCGGGCTCCCTGCTCCTTAGGAACCTGCTTCTCCCTCTGCCTCTCTCTCTCTCTCTCTCTGTCTTTCATGAATAAATAAATAAAAATCTTTAAAAAGAAAATAAAAGAATATTTAAAAAAAAAAGATTACTTAATTGTCAGAGAGAGTGCACACACAAGTAGGAGCGGTGGGCAGAGGGAGAAGCAGGCTCTCCGCTGAGCAAGGGGCCTGATGCAGGACTTGATCCCAGGCCCCTGGGATCACGACCTGAGCCGAAGGCAGGTGCTTCAGGGACTGAGCCACCCAGGCGTCCCTAGTTACTTTGTTTTTCTTTCCCTAGGAATTTTTTTTTTTTTTAGATTTTATTTATTTGTCAGAGAGAGAGAGTGAGTACAAGCAGGGGGAGCTGCAGGCAGAGGAAGAAGCAGGCTCCCCACTCAGACACTTAACC